AATTTCTCTAAGCTTAAGTTACCATTAATAGTTCACTCTTTGGTTTTATGTATATCGAGTCAACACAGCACAGGACAAACAACTGTTACTTCTTCTGAGGTGTCGGAAACTTCGCAGGTTGCCAAGATTCTGCTTTCATCCCCTGCAACTAGTCAAATATCATTGCAGTGATAAAAAAGAATTAAAATAAAAATATCTTTGGTCTCTGGAAGGGTAAAATGGTCTACAAGCATTTCGACAAGCCTTTGACAACTGCTACTTCGCCATGTACAGATTTCCTAATATATTTTTGCTTCCAGTTTTATTACTCCCCGAGGCAAGAGATTTAGTTCAAAGACACAGCAAACTTTTTTCTACTCTATACTGGCTTTCATTTTGTCTGAAGTATTCGTAACAGACTGCATGGGATGAGAAAAAAATATATATATCACACCCTCTCAGAACTCGAACTGATAAAAAGTACATTTCAGAAGCAGAAATATTAAATGTAAGGCAGAAAAGGAAATATATCATAATGACGTAATATTTTTATGGCAGCCTTGGTCAAAGGTAGATGTTCAGTTCTTGATCCTAACCCAATGGTCTGGCCATATTGGAAGGTATATATCTGATGAAGAGCAACCAAGGTCCATGATCCTAACTCAATGGTCTTGTCATATTTGAAGGTATACAGTATCTTATTAAAAAAAAACAATTAAATGATCCTAATCCATCCAACTGGCCATATTAGAGCATATGTATCTTTCTAAGAGCCATCAGGGTCCTTGATCATAATCAAATGTTCTGAGCATATTAGAAGCTATATGCTCTATCTTAAAAAAGCGGTCAAGGTCCATGATCCTAACCTAGTGGTCTGGCCATATTGGAAGGTATATATTTTATGAAGAGCAATCAAGGTCCTTGATCCTAGCCCAATGGTCTGGCCATATTGGAAGGTATATATCTGATGAAGAGGAACCAAGGTCCATGATCCTAACTCAATGGTCTTGTCATATTTGAAGGTATACAGTATCTTATTAAAAAAAAACAATTAAATGATCCTAATCCATCCAACTGGCCATATTAGAGCATATGTATCTTTCGAAAAGCCATCAGGGTCCTTGATCATAATCAAATGATCTGGCCATATTAGAAGGTATATGTTCTATCTTAAAAAAGCGGTCAAGGTCCATGATCCTAACCTAGTGGTCTGGCCATATTGGAAGGTATATATTTTATGAAGAGCAATCAAGGTCCTTGATCCTAGCCCAATGGTCTGACCATTCTGGACAGTAAACATTTTATGAAGAGCAATCAAGATTCTTTATCCTAACCCAATGATTTGTCCATTTTGGAATACATATGTTTTTGAAGAGCAATCAAGACCTGGATGCTAACCCAATGGTATGGTCATATTAGAAGGTATATATCTTAAAAAGTGTCAAGGTCCATGATACTAACCCATCCAACAGGCCGTATTGGAAGGTATGTATCTTACAAAGAGCTGTCTGAGTCCTTCATATAACCCAACTGTTGGGCCGTATTACAATGTATATTTCTTATCAAAAAGCAATCAAGGCTCATGATCCTTACACAATGGTCTGGCCATATTGAAAGGTATATACATTACTGTATATTATCTAAATCCGTCATGATCATGTCCAGTGGTCAGTTATGTTGGAGGTGTAGTGTTCTATGTATAGCGTATAATAGAATTGTATTATGATCATGTCCAGTGGTCGGTCATTTTGGGGGGTGCAGTATTCTATGTATAGAGTGTAATAGCATTGTATTATCATGGTGTCCAGTGGTCGTTCATGTTAGAGGTGTAGTGTTCTATGTATAGCATATAATAGAATTGTATTATGATGGTGTCCAGTGATCGTTCATGTTGGGGTGTGTAGTGTTCCATGTATAAAGTGTAATAGGTTGATATTATGATCATGTGCAGTGGACGGTCATGTTGGAGGAATAGTGTTCTATGTATAGAGTGTAATAGAATTGTATTATGGTCATGTCCAGTGGTCGGCCATGTTGGGGGTGAGGTGTTCTATGTATAGAGTGTAATAGGATGATATTATTATGCTGTCCAGTGGTCGGCCATGTTTCATGTTGGGGGTGTAGAGTTTCTATGTATAGAGCGTAATAGGATGATATTATGATCGTGTCCAGTGGTTGGCCATATTGGAGGTGTAGTGTTTTATATAAAGTGTATTAGAAATGTATTATGATCATGTCCAGTGGTCGGCCATGTTGGGGGTGTAGTGTTCTATGTATAGAGTGTATTAGGATGATATTATGATGGTGTCCAGTGGTCGGCCATGTTGGGGGGTGTAGTATTCTATGAAAAGAGTGTAATAGAATTGTATTATGATGGTGTCCAGTGGTCGGCTATGTTGGGGGTGTAGTGTTCTATGTATAGAGTGTAAGAGAATGATATTATGGTTTTGTCCAGTGGTCAGCCATGTTGGGGTGTAGTGATCTACGTATAGAGTGTAATAGGATGATATTATGATGATGTTAAGTGGTCGGCCATGTTGGGGGTGTGGTGTTCTATGTATAGAGTGTAATAGGATGATATTATTATGGTGTCCAGTGGTCGGCCATGTTCCATGATGGGGGTGTAGAGTTCTATGTATAGAGCGTAATAGGATGATATTATGATCATGTCCAGTGGTTGGCCATATTGGAGGTGTAGTGTTTTATATAAAGTGTATTAGAAATGTATTATGATCATGTCCAGTGGTCGGCCATGCTGGGGGTGTAGTGTTCTATGTATAGAGTGTATTAGGATGATATTATGGTGGTGTCCAGTGGGTTGGCCATGTTGGGGGTGTAGTATTCTATGTATAGAGTGTAATAGAATGTATTATGGTGGTGTCCAGTGGTCGGCTATGTTGGGGGTGTAGTGTTCTATATATAGAGTGTAAAGAGAATGATATTATGGTTTTGTCCAGTGGTCGGCCATGTTGGGGGTGTAGTGATCTATATATAGAGTGTAATAGGATGATATTATGATGATGTTAAGTGGTCGGCCATGTTGGGGGTGTGGTGTTCTATGTATAGAGTGTAATAGGATGATATTATTATGGTGTCCAGTGGTCGGCCATGTTCCATGATGGGGGTGTAGAGTTCTATGTATAGAGCGTAATAGGATGATATTATGATCATGTCCAGTGGTCGGCAATGCTGGGGGTGTAGTGTTCTATGTATAGAGTGTAATAGGATGATATTATGGTGGTGTCCAGTGGTTGGCCATGTTGGGGTGTAGTGTTTATGTATAGAGTGTAATAGGATGCTATTATGGTGGTGTCCAGTGGTCGGCCATGTTGGGGGTGTAGTGTTCTATATATAGAGTGTAATAGGATGATATTATGGTGGTGTCCAGTGGTCGGTCATGTTGGGGGTGTAGTGTTCATATATAGAGTGTAATAGGATGATATTATGATGGTGTCTAGTGGTCGGTCATGTTGGGGGTGTAGTGTATATATAGAGTGTAATAGGATGATATTATGGTGGTGTCCAGTGGTCGGTCATGTTGGGGGTGTAGTGTTCTATGTATAGAGTGTAATAGGATGGTATTATGGTGGTGTCCAGTGGTTGGCCATGTTGGGGGTGTAGTGTTCTATGTATAGAGTGTAATAGGATGATATTATGGTGGTGTCCAGTGGAGGGTCATGTTGGGGTGTAGTGTTCTATGTATAGAGTGTAATAGGATGATATTATAATGGTGTCCAGTGGTTGGTCATGTTGGGGGTGTAGTGTTCTATGTATAGAGTGTAATAGGATGGTATTATGGTGGTGTCCACTGGTCAGTCATGTTGGCGGTGTAGTTATCCATGTATGGAGTGTAATAGGATGATACTATGATGGTGTCCAGTGGTCGGCCATGTTGGGGTGCAATGTTCTATGTATAGAGTGTAATAGGATGATATTATGATGGTGTCCAGTGGTCGGCCATGTTGGGGGTGTAGTGTTCTATGTATAGAGTGTAATAGGATGGTATTATGATGGTGTCCAGTGGTCGGCCATGTTGGGGGTATAGTGTCCCATGTAGTAGAACTGTTTTGTGATCAAGTTGTTGGGTCATGTGGAAGGTGGTGATCTATATTTCGTATAAATGTATTCTATCAGGACCATGTCCATGTCAGTACGGAGATGCAGTGTATTAGACAAGCACAGGATACACACATTGTTATCACTTCCATTTATGTTTTATCAGATCTAAATGAAGCCCCTAACTAGAAGAGAACATATTAGTTAAATTGATGAGCGCTCTCTGCATACCGCATGCAAAGTTCAAAGCAATTTCTTTGTAGGATTACCTCCACAACATAATAATCAGGGAGAACCTCAGCTGGATTGCTCGGCGTCGTTGACCCCTCCAGATGATACATAGACTCCGATAAGTGAAGTGTGAGATGTAAATTCAAGAAACAATGTTACCTTCAAGGTCACCTTGGTGCAAGTCATTAATACAGATGCATCCTGTTCATTTCAGGAGGAGTAACCTATCCACACTTCTGTCCTGGATGGATGAAAGGAAATATGACTTCATGAAGGCAATCAGAGCAAAGTGACTGATACGATGTTTACATGCGGAGTGATGCTGGAGATTTACAAAGCCGGGCGTTCCCCCACCCACCCCGCTGTCCCTGTGAGCTGTTCCTTGTTTTATAGGCACTTTACATATGGCATTTAAAAGTGATTGTTGGGAATGTAACCCCTTGCCTACCGGACACAGCTGATCACATGGTAAAAGGCCGCTGTGATTGTTTTGTTTTTATTTGGAAGGGTGCATGTAATCAGCACAGGGCCAATCAGCGCTGTCCAGACAGACGTCAGGGGTTCTGCATCCTCCTACAGCAAAATGAAAACTCCTCCTAAAAGCTTTAACCAGTGCTCTGCTGGACACTGATAGAAGTCACAAGACTGCTCTATACTGCTGATGAGAAAATGTATTAAGCAGTTTATAATTACTAAAACATTTGTATTTCCATGTTGTGTGCACTGTGTGAGACCAGATATAGTGAATGCGGGGTCCGGGGAGAGCGAATATAGTGAATGCAGGGTCCGGGGAGAGCGAATATAGTGAATGCAGGGTCCGGGGGGAGAGCGGATATAATGAATGCAGGGTCCGGGGAGACCGTATACAGTATAGTGAATGCAGGGTCCGGGGAGAGCGGATATAGTGAATGCGGGGTCCGGGGAGACCAGATATAGTAAATGCAGGGTCCGGGGAGACCAGATATAGTGAATGCGGGGTCCGGGGAGACCAGATATAGTAAATGCGGGGTCCGGGGAGAGCAGATATAGGGAATGCAGGGTCCGGGAGAGCGGATATAGGGAATGCAGGGTCCAGTGAGAGCGGGTATTGTGAATGCGGGGTCTGGGGAGAGCGGATATAGTAAATGCCGGGTCCTGAGATAGCGGATATAGTGAATGTGGGGTTTAGGGAAGGGGCAGACTGACAACTCATGGGGCCCCCAGGCAATAGGGGATCATGGGGCCCCAGTGTCCTTGCACAAACTCAAAAAAGCCTATGAAGAAAAGGTACCAGGGGCATCTCATGTGGCGCCTACTGACCCCGGGCCCTCGGGCAGTGCCTGAGTTTTCAAATGGTCAGTCTGCCCCTGGCTAGTACATCTCACACTTCCCTCCCCAGACTGACAATGCTGCTGTCAAAACATGGAGGCCCCTGTGCTCCTTCATCCAGAGTGGGGGGTGCAATAATACAGGAGGTGTGTTACTGGCCAAATCAACAAGTGAAAGCACAGGGGGAAAAGACTGAAAAAAGAAAATGAATGCAGCCACTACATCTAATGATTGGTAAGCTGAAAAAACAGGGGTCTTCAGAAAGTTTCAACACTTTTTTTTTGTTATATGTATATATATATATATATATATATATATATATATATATATATATACAGTTGTGTTCAAAATAATAGCAGTCAGACATCACTAACCGGATCAATCACTGTTTTTGGTGGAAATGATATTTCTACATGCCAAATAATTTCCTATCAGGTGTAGTAGAGTAATAGAAATCCAACAGACCCAACAGTCATGACATGCATGCTGCTGATTCTGTGTCATTGAATCACTCATTGAAAGGGGCGTGTTCAAAATAATAGCAGTGTGGAGTTCTATTAGTGAGGTCATTCATTCTTTGAAAAACAGGTGCCAATTATTGCCCTTATTTAAGGAAGGAAGGCAGCAAATGTTGTACATGCTGGTTACAGTGCATTTCTCTCTGAAAATCTGAAGAAAATGGGTCTTTCCAGACATTGTTCAGAAGAACAGCGTACCTTGATTAAAAAGTTGATTGAAGAGGGGAAAACATATAAAGAAGTGCAGAAAATGATCGGCTGCTCAGCTAAAATGATCGCAAATGCTTTAAATCGGCAACCAAAACCTGAAAGACGTTGAAGAAAGCAAAAAAACTACCATTGGAATGGATAGAAGAATAGCCAAAATGGCGCGGACTCAGTCAACAATCAGCTCCAGGAAGATGAAAGAAGGTGTGACGTTCCCTGTGAGGACTGTTACAATTAGAAGACCCCTATGTGAAGCCAAGCTATCTGCAAGAAGCCCCCGCAAAGTCCCACTGTTGGGAAAAAAAAAGACGTGTGCTGAAGAGGTTACAATCTGCCAAAGAGCACATTGACTGGCCTAAAGAGAAATGGCGCAATATTTTGTGGACTGATGAAAGTAAGATTGTTCTTTTTGGGTCTAGTGGGCGGAGACAGTTTGTCAGACGACCCCCAAACACTGAATTCAAGCCACAGTACTCTGTGAAGACAGTGAAGCATGGTGGTGCAAGCATCATGATATGGGGATGTTTCTCATACTACGGTATTGGGCCTATTTATCGCATACCAGGGATCATGGATCAGTTTGAAGACATCAGAATACTTGAAGAGGTCATGCTGCCTTATGCTGAAGAGGAAATGCCCTTGAAATGGGTGTTCCAACAAGACAACGACCCCAAACACACCAGTAAACGTGCAACATCTTGGTTCCAGACCAACAAGATTGACGTTATGGAGTGGCCAGCCCAATCCCCGGATCTTCATCCAATAGAAAACTTGTGGGGTGACACCAAAAATGCCGTTTCTGAGGCAAAACCAAGAAATAGAGAAGAACTGTGGAATGTAGTCCAATCATCCTGGGCTGGAATACCTGATCACAGGGGCCAGAAGTTGGGTGACTCCATGCAACACAGATGTACAGCAGTTCTCAGAAACAGTGCGACTACAACCAAATATTCATGAAGTCATTCAAAGGAAAGCAAAATCTTCAAACATTTCTCAGTTTATATAGTGAATGTTTGAGTTTGTAAAGAAGAATACAAACACTGCGATTTTTTTGAACCGTCTAATATTCACTTTTCTTCCATTTTTTTAGAGGAACAACACAAATTTGATGTATTTTTCTTCCTGTTTTGATTTGGAATAGAATGTGTCGTGTTCCCAATGCATTTGTGTGGATGGAAATAAAAGCTATTAGAAGGATTTTGAGCTTTGTTCTCTTTTTTCAACACACTGCTATTATTTTGAACACAACTGTGTATATATAATTGAATTTAAAAATGTGTGGAAACTTTTTGAAGACCCCTCATATATTACATTTCCCAGAACAGAAGTTCTCCCCCCCCCCTATTCCTTCTGCTTGCAGCCTAGGGACACATAACAGGTCCTAGGAGGTTGTGGGACCATTCGCAGGGTACACGCAGCTTGCTCATGCACAGTGGGGAGCTGCTGGCTGTGACATCACAACCGGCTTCCCACAGTTATCGTGGTGGACCTGAAGACCAGCGAAGAACTGGCCCAGGTGAGGACAGTGATAGATCCCTGGACAGGTAAATAGCTGTTGACCTTTAATTTTGTTTTTGGGGGGGGCAGTACTGAAGAACCTATTTAATATTGCTTTAATACTTAACTGAATGCAAAACATTTAGCTAAAATGCTAAATTTTCCAGAGATCTCATAATGTTTAAAATAAATTTCAGCAAAGCAAAAAATTTTTCTTGTCCCTGACACCTACACTCACCGGCCACTTTTTTAGGTCCACCTGTTCAATGGCTTGGTAACACGAATTGCTAACTAGCCAATCACATGGCAGCAACTCAATGCATTTAGGCATCTAGATGTGGTGAAGACAACTTGCTGAAGTTCAAACCGAGCATCAGAATGGAGAAGAAATGGGATTTAGGTGACTTTGAATGTGGCATGGTTGTTGGCGCCAGACGGGCTGGTCTGAGTATTTAAAAAACTGCTGATCTACTTTGATTTTCACGCACAACCATCTCTAGGGATTACAGAGAAGGGTCCGAAAAAGAGAAAATATCCAGTGAGCGGCAGTTGTGTGGAGGAAAATGCCTTGTTGATGTCAGAGGTCAGAGGAGAATGGACAGACTGGTTGGAGATGATAGAAAGGCAACAGTAATCCCAATCATCACTTGTTACAACCAAGGTAGCAGAAAACTGAAGCACAACATGCTAACCCTTGAAGCAGATGGGCTACAGCAGCTCAAGACCACACCGGGTGCCTCTCCTATCAGCTAAGAACAGGAAACGGAGGCTACAATTCGCACAGGCTCACCAAAAATTGGACAACAGAAGATTGGAAAAGAGTTGGCTGGTCTGATGAGTCTGGCTTTCCCTAGAGATGGTTGTGCTTGAAAATCCCAGTAGATCAGCAGTTTTTGAAATACTCAGACCAGCCCGTCTGGCACCAACAACCATGCCATGTTCAAAGTCAGATAAATCCACTTTCTTTCCCATTCTGATGCTCGGCTTGAACTTCAGCAAGTCATCTTCACCACATCTAGATGCCTAAATGCATTGAGTGGCTGCCATGTGATTGGCTGATCAGCAATTTGTGTTACCAAGCCATTGAACAGGTGTGCCTGATGAGTGTACAATGTATTCCAATGAAGGTTTTCTAATCGATACAAATGCTGTACAGAAAGTAATGCAAATGTGGGCATTGCTTTTTATTAACTTATATAGGTTGTTGAAATTTCCCATGTTGGAAGAGAAACACATCCTCTAGAGCAGGCATCAATAAATGGCAAACCAGGGTCCGGATGCGGACTGAGTCACTATCCCATCCGGACCCATGCGGACCCGCTATTTAGAAGCCTTTTCTTCCCCCCAGCTATCTTGCGGTCATCCTCACAGAGATGACAATGAAAGACAGGACAGTTCTGGAAGGAGGGCGGGAGCTGCCAAGCAGGTTACCAAGCAGGTGATTGGTTGCTAGGATGAAGGGCAGTCTTATCAATCAATCACTGTCTGCCAATCACTGTCTGTAAGGTAGGAGTGTGTGTGTGGGAGGGGAGCAAAGTAAAAGGGGTTAAGGACATTAGTGTGAAGGGGGGCTGCTGTAGATAAAAAGGAGGTGAGGACTGAATGTGGGGGGGACTGAGGACTGAATGTGGGGTGACTGAGGACTGAATGTGGGGGGCTGAGAACAGTAATGTTGGGGGACTGAGGATAGTAGTGTAGGGGGGGGACATTAAAATTAAAGTGTAGGAGCTGAGAATGAATGTGGGGGAGGGGGTGAGGACTGCGATGTTGGGGGCTGAGGACATTAAAGTGGGGGGGCTAAGAACTGTAATGTGGGGCTGAAGACAGTAATGTGGGGGGACTGAGGACTGAATGTGGGGGGCTTAGAACAGTAATGTTGGGGGACTGAGGATAGTAGTGTGGGGGGGGCATTAAAATTAAAGTGGAGGAGCTGAGAAATGAAATGTGTGGGGGCTGAGGACTGCAATGTTGGGGGATGAGGACATTAAAATGGGGGGGCCTAAGAACTGTAATATGGGGCTGAAGACAGTAATGTGGGGGGACTGAGGACTGAATGTGGGGGGCTTAGAACAGTAATGTTGGGGGATGTAGGATAATAGTTAGGGGGCATTAAAATTAAAGTGGAGGAGCTGAGAAATGAAATGTGGGGGGGGGGGCTGAGGACTGCAATGTTGGGGGATGAGGACATTAAAATGGGGGGGGGGGGGCCTAAGAACTGTAAAGTGGGGCTGAAGACAGTAATGTGGGGGGACTGAGGACTGAATGTGGGGGGCTTAGAACTGTAATGTTGGGGGAGTGAGGATAGTAGTGTGGGGGGGCATTAAAATTAAAGTGGAGGAGCTGAGAAATGAAATGTGTGGGGGGCTGAGGACTGCGATGTTGGGGGCTGAGGACATTAAAGTGGAAGGGGGGGCTGACAACTGTAATGTGGGGGGTTGAGGACAGTAATGTGGGGGGGTCTGAGGACAGAAATGTGGGGGGTCTGAGGACAATAATGCGGGGGGGATGATGTAAAAAGGGGTGGAGTGCTCTGCAGTGAAGGGGGCAGAGAACAGTACTGTTGGGGGGGGGGGTTTGATGTCAAGGAAGTGTGAGAACACTACTGTGAAAGG